AGCATCATACTTAAAGGAACTTCTTGGTGGGGGTACATGAATTGCTCTATCTAAAGTTGAGTCCATACAGTCAAGTGAAAATTTCCCGTAAAGCCAATCAGAAGCTGGCTCCCAAATGTTATGAAGTCTTTTTTATCCTCATCAAGAATATTATAGTTGTAGCCTATGAGCTTCAACTACCAAGGGATTCCACCATTCACCCCGTTCTCCATGTCTCCTTGCTTAAACGTGTTGTTGGTGCCCAGGTCACTAGTCACGCAACCATACCAGATTATGATGGAGCTGGGGATTTAAAGATTGAGCTACTGCAGATTTTGGGGAGGAATGTGGTTTCTCGAAATACAAAAGTTGCAACTCAGATCCTTGTTTACTAGACTAATCAATATGAAGTTGATGCTACTTGGGAGTTCCTAGACACCTTCAAGATCAAATTTCCAGAATTGAGGACTCGAGGACAAGTCTGGACTGAAGTAGGGTGACTTGTAACACTTTGTACTAAAATGTAATAGAATAGAAGTTTGGGACGAAAGAGTTAGAATTTTATTGATTGATTAGTTGAAGTTCATGACTAATTGGGTACTTTATCAAAATCGGTCATATGAATAAGCCGCTATAGTGCATGCAATGACATATCATAATAGTAAATACAATTTCCACATTCTCTCTCTATTTCCTAACGACTACCTTCTCTCTCTTCTCTTCCCTCTCTTTTCTAATGTATCCTTGCAGCACATCTCTCATTTCCCCCCTTTCACCGAGCTCCATCGCCACTCCAATACTCGTCGAGATCCAATCAAACAGGCCAGACTGTTGCAGTTAGTGGTGCTTACTTGCTCGTTACCTGTATGTCTCCTGCAACCCTTTGTCGATTTTTCTTTTCTTACCACATGTTGTCCATGATGTCTTATTTATAACATGACTCGCAACATACAATCACCTAACTAGTTTTAACGTATGAAATGCAATGCCCTAATCCTCGACTACCAACCATCCGTGTTAATCCTTAACTCGATATATCCAAACTCATTTTGACTCGAAAACTTTAAGCGTTATAACTAGATCAAAATCCTTTCAATGTACCCATTATGAGTTTCTATTGTATTATTGGGAAGTAAATTGATATCCACATACGTCAGGCTGATTTCATCCAATAGTTGGCAAGAATCATAATGAAAAATTCAGCTTTTGGATCCCACCATTACTTGCAAGTCGTGCATGATAACTAATTATTATGCTTTAAAGGAATGTAGTCTAGAAAAGGAAGAGCCTTATTTCAGAAAGTGCCGAGACCAACACGTTGTGGTGATTGAGAAATTTAGTAATCTTTGGAGGGAATGGGCCAAATGGATCATCATAATGTCTAAGAGACACCCATGATGATAAATTACACTAAATTTTGGCTCCCTTTTGACTCGAATTGTTTTCTTACAATGATTGATTTTCCCCCCCTTTCATCCGAAAGATTAGATGCTAGACAATAGTCCTTATTCTGTTTTTTTTATAGTATTTTCTTAACACATGAATACACAATTATAATTTTGTATCAAATATTGAGAAGAGTTGTAGCTCATCCTATACCGCTTTCCGTCACTAATAATAAACAATCACCCTCATAATTTCATGTTAGACTCTACTGTTAATTAGGTTTGGCTGGATGGATAGGATCAGCACTTAAAATAATTAACCATGTGCTTCCCTCTCATTCTTGTTGCGCTTCAAAACAACTTTATGTAGTTGCATAATAGTAATGATTTAATGTCTAGTAATACTTTCAAGTAGTGGTTTAGGAGCAAGCTTGTCAAACCGATTTAACTCGATAAGTAAGTGTTTGAGATTCAACAGTCGAAACACAGCGCAATCTGTTTGAGTTATTTTATAGATTTTCAAATATATATAAATAAGGAAGATAGTGATTTAAAATTTCAATGAGTAAAATGAAATGTACTTTATAAGTATCATTTAGTACTTTTACATTAAAGCAAGGTTGTCAACCCGGTTTAGCCCGTTGGCGAAGGGCAAACTCGAAAAATAGACACTATGCACAAACCAAAGGAAAAAACGACGTTGTGTGGCCTCCAATTCAAGAACTTTGTTGCGGGTCGACACAGGGGTGTGTGCCGCTCTTTTTCCTCATCGGGTACAAGTCAATCCGCTGGTTGACAACCTTGCATTTAAGTGTGTGCGTATATATATATATATATATATATATAACTCATTAAAACGCTAGTCTCACCTCATTTGATCATATTCCATTCCTAAAGGACAACATTTTGTCATCGTGTCGGAAACTTAAAAAAGTTGTCCATCCATCGATTTTCTCGATTATGACCAGCTACAGGTTAACACTTAAAATAACTTCTGGAAACCGTTTCACGACAGTTCCAATCGGACCTGGTCCAACTGACGTGTCTCATAGTGGTTTGACAAGCTTGTTAACGAGACATTAACATTTAATACATGCTGTTAGAGGTGGTTGGCCATGCTTGCAGTGGCTGGTTTGGGATTAAGATTGGTCTATCCCCAAAATTAAGTTTCTTTACAAAAGAGGACACCTTCACATTCATTACCATTCATACTAGATCTGTATAGAAAATGGTCCTCTCTTTCTTGCAGTACAATGGCGCCAGTAAAGCTTGGCAGCTGCTATCTTCTGGGTCTAAATTACTATACAGTTGGGACTTTGGGTTGCATCTAACGCCACCAAATTTACACCAAAAGTTGAATTGGAAGAAAACAAAACCCTCCAACCACATTAATTACTCGACCATGATTGTTGTCAATATGGGACCTATGTATCCTGCAATTGCAGTTCATGCTACCTTTGATTTCCACACCACACCATGTCACCATCCATCTCCCATCACCACACCCCAAACCAAATTGCCAGAGAGTAATTCAGGCTGCAGAAATTGACATCTATTCTCCTCACTGTCCCACAAAAACCAAACCGGTTTGGCTATTGAATGGGCCGGGATGAGTATGTGCTTATATAGCTTATGTCTTCTCGGTCGTTTGATCAGCAATCCGATGTCTATGGTGTGTGCAGGAGGGAAATAGTCCACAATCACAAATGTTTTTCTCGTGTCATGCATGCCTCACATCCGTCTGATTCCCAGAATGCTTTAACTCGTGATGTACCCTGTTCACGAGGATAGCGAAATTCCCCAAACCGAACACTTCCCTTCAATTAGATTGCAACACTTTCAAGTTGACCAAATTCATAACGGATGTAGCTCAAAATTGCATGTTGAAGCTCCACATGACACGATTGGAAGTTGCAAGCACCCAAGTGGTCAAGTTTTGAAACTTCAAGAGCTAAAGAAAAGAAAATCTTCTACTGGGTGCTACTGATAATGGAGCAGAAACAGTAATGTTTAGGACCAGCCTAAACTTCTGAGTTCTGACCCTTATTTCTTTCTTCATATTGTAAAACATGGGATAAAGGAGAGAAGGACAGAAGGTGCCTCATGTAGGTAAGGCCAGTAATTGTAGTTGCCGTTACAAGGCAATGGCATGTTACTGGTTTTGTCTCATTGAAGCCTTAAAATGATCATTCCAAGGTTACAGTAAACAGTAAAACTGAACCAAACATTAACAATACAAAATTTAAGGGAATGGGGAACAACCCAGTAAAGAAAAAGGGACCCAGAAAATAATAATGAGTTAAGGTGTAAGGGTATGGCCATAATCTTTTGAAAATTTTGTGGGGATGCAAGCAGAAAAGTTAGGGGCTTTATTAGGGCAGCGGTGCCTTTGAAGGGCTGCGTGGCCTTTTCAGGGGGCTCTGGGTCTGGGGTATGATGCCTCCTCCACTTTCTCCAGTACTAGTTCGGTTCTCTCTTCTTTCCACAACACTTGCTCTGCAACAAACTGTGACAAAAGAAACTAAAACTTACGTACTGTGAAATATGATACACTGGTCGTGTCAACCGAGCCATAACAGAATTGATTGAGATCTTAAACTCATCTGACTAATGTCACGTATTCCGAAATCAATGATGTTAGACAATCATGATCCAACTGTGCTCTTTCCAAAGTTATAATGAAATTCGATGTATTAGTGCTGTTATGATCGCACCACAGTTACGTTCAACATTCTTACTCGATCGGTTAATATAGAAAAGAGCATTCTTAGACAAAACTAATTGACAGGAAGGAATATATAGAAATGAGGCATATGGTGAGTGGGAGAGGGCAATGCTTGGCATGGTTAAAGTTGGGTCTACATAGGATGGGTGCCAACTTCCAACCCCACAATATGCCTCCTAACTTGAACAAAAAAAATATACCAAAGAAAAGGCTGCCACCATTGCCATGCTTTTCTTGGAATCAGAAACCCAGTAAAGAAAGGATTTCAGTACTAAAAAAAGACATTCCTGAAGTGATTAACATTGGTAATACATCAGAAACCTTTTTTATATAGCTAATCCTCGAAATTGGCTGAGACATTCTCTCTACAATAGTCAACCACAAGTGCTACCAGCTGCCAGCCTGCAATTTCCTCCCTCAAGTAGTTGGAGAGGCATTGATGATGAATGAAGATGAAGGAAGATAGAAAAGGGAAGTGCCCCATTTTTACACTTTCTACCACCACCAGACAGGCACCAGCCACAGTTGATCAGCTTGTTTATATTCCCAGAAATGTGTTCTTCTCAAAGTGGGTGTGAAAAAGTTCAGCTGCTACCCTCCAGGCCTCATACCCTTTTAATCAGGTCTTCCATCTCGACTTTGACCTTCATGGTTAGAGGCTTAGAGCTGGAGATGGTGATGGTTCATCTGAAAAAGGAAGCTGGAACAAAGAAAGAGAAACCTCTTCGATGAGCAAAATTCAATGGTAGATTGGTAGTAGATAACAAGATTTTGGGACAACCTTCTGAAGCAAGCAATGGCTATTTTTGGGTAGTTTTCTTATGACAAGTGGTATGGGAAATCCAACAGTACTGTTGGTTTCACACAACCTTAAAATGGGTCACACGTATTCTAGACACCGAAGTGGTGGTTTTTTTTTTTTTTTTTTTGCTTGTAGAATGTGTACAAAAAGTTTGCACAGAATTTGCTGCTGCTATGGAGGTCTTCCATTTATGAGTGATCTACTCAGACACCTGTAGTGAATCGCGCTCAAAAGTAGCGTGTTCAACTGTTCATGTCATTGCCAATGCCATTAACCATCTCTCGTGTGCTATCGGTTACTGGATCGACGTTACTTACAAAATGCTAACGCGACAATCCAACGATTAAGAATGCGTGATAGGTTGATCCAAAAATCTCGACATGCTGTGCAATCTCTTCACCATGATGCTGATAAAGATCAAAGGTCACATTCTTGAGATACGATACTTATCCTCCTAATTCATTAAGCATAGTCACAATCACACACTATCAACGCTGTGTTTCAACTAATTGAAACAGAGCATTCCTAAACACAAAAGCAAATTGAATAAGAATTGGATCCTCCATCATCCACCATTATCAGCATCTATCTCTCAGCCTTCCCTCCCCCCTCAAGATAATGCCAAATTAGAAAAAGGGTGTGGATTGGATTCCCCATCAAACAAATCAACTTTTTCATGATTCCCGCCATAATCAGAACAAACAATTAGCCACCCATCTTTCAAGCTAATGATGTATATAAATAACTCAAACTAGTCTCCAATTGGTAACAGTCTAATTAATCAGCCAAGCTTTCTCTTTCTCAAAGGGGTAAAAAAAAAATGGGGAATGGGTCAAGCAGAGGAGAAGGAAGAGGAAGAAGGGACACGAACCCTGAAGCAGGTGAGGACAAAGAATGGACCTTTCTCGCCACCTTCGAGCGCCAGTATGGAAGCTCCACCCACCCTTTCTTCTACACGTGTCGATTCCCGGAGGCACTGAAGATCGCCGACGAGGAGCGGAAGTTCGTGTTCATCTACCTCCACTCCCCTGCCGACCGCCACTTCACCCCTGCCTTCTGCAAGCACACCCTTTCCTCCGACCGCGTGGTTCAGTACCTCGACGACAATTTCGTCACGTGGGGGGCGCTCGCCGACAGAGGGGAAGGCCGACAGATGGCCAAAACGCTGCTCCGGCCCGGAACTTTCCCCTGCTGCGCCGTCGTCGCGCCGGCGGCGGGGGAAGACATGACCGTCCTGCAGCAAGTGATGATCTTTCAGTTTTTGGGGGGGGAAAAAACCCTAAATTGTTTTTTCTAAAGAAGTTGGGTCTTGATTTAATTGTGGGTTTTGTGTGGTCCAGATGGAAGGTCCGATGTCGCCGGAGAAGCTGGTGGAGATTCTGCGGAGGACGGTGGAGGATCACGGATTGGCGTTTGGGCATGAGAGGGCGAAAGAGAGGAAGAGATCGAAAGCGAGAGCTAAGGAGGAAGAGAAGTTGCGAGAGGAGAAGTTGAAGAAGAAGAAAGGTCAGCAATACTACTGAAGTATTGATGATTAGCCTCTCTCAATCAAAACTCCCTTTTTCCATATTAATGGATTTTAGTGTAAGTAGAGTATATTAATGTGTAATGGTGAGGGGATTAGAGTTGGGCATGGCTGGTTTGGTTTGTCTAATTGTTAAGTTGATGTATTGTTGAATTTGGTGTACTGTGAATTAGAGAGTTGGGTATATGTAATTATGTTTTGAAATAGTTGGGGTGGTTTGGATGGATTAATAGAAATGAGTCAATTTGATCAATTGTCTTGTTTTATAAATGAGGCAATTAAAACGAGTCAATTTGAATTACCTGCCCCCACCCCAGATAATTGAAATTGACTCAAAACGGATCAATTCAAAATACCTCAGGCAGATTGATCCATCCAAATTTTTTGCTGGCAAACGAGGCAATTTGGTACAATTGTCTCAAAACGAGACAATTGTGTTAAATTGATCCGTTACAATTCCTCATCCAAACGACCCAAAAGAAAAGTTACTTTTTAAATAGAATCATCATAGAAATTCAAACAAGTATTGTAACAATCTCACCTAAACAATCATAGAAATTATTTTTGATGGTGTGACTTGTGAGTAGGGTTGTTAATGAACCAAACCGCTCATGAACGACTCGGTGTCCGACTCGAGAAAAATTCGTTCGACACTCGATTGTCTTAATCGATCTGGCTCGCGAACAAGCTCGTTAACTAAACGAGCCGAACTCGAGTTATGCCATGTTCATCCCAAAAGCTCGCTAACAAGCTCATCTAACGGTTTGGCATAAAAAAGGATTGGAATTCATGGACTTTATGTATTGAAATTTGGATTAATATTGTGCTATATTTTGTTAGAGACTTTGCTACTAGTTGGAATGTAATTTTGTGCTATTTTTATCTCAATTTTGAGTTATCATGAACATTTTATGAGTTGACTTAATTTTGGTCTCGTTAAACTCATTTGACGAGCCGAGCTGGAATTTGCATATTAAAATTCGTGAATAACTCAAACTGAGTTCGAGTTTGAAAATATTTTAACGACTTGGACCATTAACAACCGTACTTGTGAGGCCCAATCTAACGAGGCAGAAGCATTCCATCCCCGGCCCAAAATGGCTCGTCAAACTATCACACCCAGAAAGTCAGCAAACGCACCAGTATCACCTACTCCACAAAACCTCACCGTTGATCTATCGTCATCTAATTGCTTTCCTTTTCCGATGTACTCCCAAGAAAAACAAAAAGGATCGAATGCGTCATTTTCCCGGGAAACAAACAGGTTCTGGAAAATGAGTGAAGCTCGATTCTGACGATTCGCCGAACCACACCTGCTGCATTCCAAAAACCCCCACCGAAAACGCAAAGCAGCTAGTGCACGACTGCTCTTCCACTCCCCCCGAGATATGGCGCTCCGGGCTTGTCCTCACGGCTACCGCCAGCCGTTAATCTCCGCCGTTGATTTCACCAAATCCCCTTCTCGGAGCTTCAGATTCTCTGTTCGGAGCAGCATGCCGGACTCCGGTCAATCAAGGAAGGTGACGCTACCAAGCTCTTTCGTCTCTCCTCCATTCCGAAAAAAACTGTTGAGGTTTGTAAAATTCTCTGCTGCAGCTTGTCTTAGAAGTCAAGGAGAAGCTCGCAAAGGATCATGGGAGTCTCCCCGCCGGAAAATATGGAAGAGACGATGAAGAGATGATTCTCTGGTTTCTAAAGGATAGGAAGTTCTCCGTCGATGAAGCTGTTGGGAAACTGACCAAAGCCATTGTATCCTCCTCTCGATTAGAGTCCTACTGTTACATTGTATTTGCCCTTTTGAAAATTCAATATCCACATTCGAAATTGCTAGATAGATGGCTGATTCTCGAGTTTGAGTAATGATGTGTTTGCTGCTGAATTGGGCTTTATTTTGGTGCCTCCAAGCTTTCCTTTCTACAGCTTTGATTAGAAATGGAGGCAAGAATTTAGGGTGTCTGATTTGACTGAGGAGTCGGTGGAGAGTGTAGCAAAAACGGGGAAATCGTATGTGCATGACTCTTTTGATGTCCATGGCAGGCCAGTGCTTCTAGTTGTGGCTTCTAATCACTTCCCTGGTGTAAGTGCTGCAACTTTTGTACATCCTTTTTCTTGTTTTGTGGCATTATTGATGAGGAAACCGTTTGATGGTTGGGAATTTTAGTGGTAGTGTTAGGTCATTCTAGTTAGCAGCTCTTCTAGTTGAGAGCGATGTAGTTTGTTTAAGTTCATGTGATCGTATGCATTTATGTTGCCTGTTTCCCTGCTTGTATGTGACGGTTTCTGATTTCTAAGGCAGCTTGTACTTTGGTTCTGCCCATGTTCTGTTGATTCTAGCTTAGGTTCTCATAATAAGCAACAAAATGAATGCTTACAGGTCCATGCTCCTGAAGACGACCAGAAGTTGTGTGCTTTCCTGATCGAGAAGGCTTTGAGGATGCTACCACCTGGCAAAGATGATATATTGGGAGTTATAGATCTCAGGAACTTCAGTACTGCGAATGCAGACGTGAAGTTCCTGACTTTTCTGGTAATATCCAGAATCAAGTCTTTTACAATGGGAAACGAAATTGAATTGATAGCCATTGTAGCTTTATTTCTCATTGAATAAACACAGGAACCCTTTACCTGGGACCACTACATTTCTGTTATGAACAACATGGGACTGAAATCCATGGCTCCTTTTTTTATACCGGAATAGTATCAAACATCGACTTTGTATGATTAGGAAAGTCTTTTACTTTTACCCCCTATGGCCCTATGTAGTAGTACTGCTACTGTCTCTTTGGCTGTTTGATAGCCTAGTTTTTTCTTGCAGTTTGATGTGTTCTACTACTACTATCCAAGGCGGCTTGGTGAAGTCCTCTTCGTTGAAGCTCCCTTTGTTTTCAAGCCGTTTTGGCAGCTGGCAAAGCCGTTGCTAAAATCTTATGCTTCACTGGTACGACTCAATGCTTAAAACGAGATTGCTAATTTTTATAAAAAACTTGCAAAAGTAGGTTTGTTGGAATTTGTTTAGAAGAGATGCTTTCTTAAGAGCTCTGGAGTTTTAGTCCAAGTTATCGCTGCTGCTTTCTTTCTCTTCCCCTCTATCATGTCAACAGTAGTTCACTTCAGTTGTTGGTTTTTGTGTTTGATGCAGGCGAGATTCTGCTCGGTGGAGACTGTGAGGAAGGAATACTTCACAGAAGAAACTGTGCCGGGCATCTTCAATGATTAGGGGAGGGGCATTCATTAATCTTTACCGTCTGCAACTAATCTCCCAAGTTATCGTTACTTGTGCAGGGTGAGGCTTCAGTTCAACCAGTAAGAGATATTCGGGTTTGGCAGTTCCCATTTTGAAGAGTAGGAAAAGAGCAATATACAGTTCTCGTGCGATTTAGATTTTGTTCTTTGCTTCTGGGGGAAATAACTATACAGAAAAACCGTGAATGGCAATAGAGATCGGTGTGTTTGTTTCGGCTGCAAGATAAGTTGACATAGAAGATCTTGGATCTCTTATTCTTCATACCTCAACTTTGTACTATGTAATTCACAAATGAGAATATGATCCTGGTACATAATTTACAATGAAGAATAACTGTGCATGTGTAAGTGCATGTCTGTGACGGTCCATATGTGTGCTATCTATATCAAGGCAACGATCCCAATGGTAAGGCGTCCATCGAGGGGTGCTGTCGATATCTTCTGTTGTTTCTCTCGAGCCGGTGTAGGAAGATGACGAATGGTTTGGCTTGCCACAAGAAAGTAAGAACGATTGGCAGCTAATGAAAGAAAGTAGAAATGGTTGGTGCCTAGGGCTTTGGTGAAGTCTAGGTGAAGTGGTTGGCCATTTGATCATTGGTGACGAACCTTTGGTCGCCTGAACCGCTTCGGATTAGACTCATTCATTCTCCCCAAACAATTCCTCCTTTGATCCATTATCCAAACGATGCAATCATGCGATGTCTAACGAAAATGATTACATTGTTGTTGGATTGAGATCATGCAGATCATGTGCATCTTATTAGATAAGAAGCATGCAGGCGGTCGAGAGGGCGAGACTTTTTCATTGCGCACTGCCAAATGTGGATTACAGTTACAGAATCTAAACAGTAAAATCTAGAGATCCTGGAGCATAAAATGTTTCAGCATGGTACACTAGTTTGATGAGCTACCCTGAGTTCAAGGCTCCAAGTTTTGATTTGTTCTCTGTGAGGAAGAGTAGTAATGAGATTCGAGCTCCTTGAGGCTAGCAGCAGCCTCCTCTGCAATTCTGGCTAACATGTTATCAGTTTTCTCTGCCTGTTGGTTGAACTCGGCTATTCTTTGGTCCACATGATCGTTAAGCGATGCAAAGCCCGAGAAAATGGCAGACTGTTTTAACTCGGATACTAACTTAAGTAGCGAATCGGCTGCCTGAACCTGTTCACGGAGAAGCAGTCATAAATCAGTTGTCAGCTGCCAACATAGGTGTGCAGAAATCTGAAGCAAGTAAATTATCAAAATGCCATGGTTGAAAACAATTAACTGGAAATGGGATCAAAATGAGTGAAAAGTTTATGGGGCTTCCGGGAAGAGCAAAATCACAAAAGCTTCTACCTCAAACAAGCTCCATGGCTACAACTACGTGGAATGCTGAACTTCTAAAATCTTACAACTTGTAGCTGTGTTCAACACAAGGAGAACTGCTCATAGTTCAAGTATGAAGCACAAAGTTCATTTTGCCATTTCATCCCAACCAGTGACATCCCTGAGAAGTAAGAACCCTTTTTCGAAATGTCGAAGTTTCCACGAGTTCCAAATCAACATTTCTTGGGGCTGCTAAGGTCTGCCTCCTAGTAAGTAGTAACCATTGAAATCCATAAAAGGGTCACACAAACTACAGACCCCAACAAAATTCCTATGGCGAAACTTCATAGATTAGACTAGGAGTAAGCAATCTTACCATTCTGGAAGCACGCATTTCCATCATGAAGGCTTCCTGCGAATTCCTCACCGGCGGTTCATTGACCTACATTTCCAAGCAGCAGCAGCGAAATTGAGTTCAAACAGTCGGCGGATCAGCATTTTGCAGGGAAGATAATCCTCCAGCCAGATACAAAAAGAATCTAATGAGAACCGGGGGAAAAAAATCTGCTCTCCAATTCGAATTGCAAGAAGGAGGAGAGAACGAAAGAGGCAAAACTTTAATACCCTGGCAACGTTGACGAGGTGGGTGAAATTGTCGACGATGTTGGCAATATCGGTCTCCAACCTCTGCATCAATGCTTTCTGCTTCTGTGCCGCAGCTGCCGCGGCCGCAGCCGTCGGGCCGCTTCCCGCTCCTCCAGCGCCGCCTGATCCTCCCTTGTTCATTCTTCAGTGATTGCCAACCGGCGGAGGGGAATAGAAGTGTGCCGTGAAGCCAGAAACTGGAGGCTAAGCTGAAATGCCGAGTTGGGCCGGCCGAGAAAGACTGTGCGAGGGTGTTGGAATCCGACTCCGGCCCGGCGTTTAATATTCTCATAGGTAGGGGTGGAAATCGGTACGGTATCGGTATCCCAATACCAAATACCGAAATCCCGAATACCGAATTACACCCTGAAATCAATCCCAATCTCAATCCCTAAATAATTTCGGTATCCCAATCCCAATCCCTAAATATTTCGGTATCCCAATCGGTATTATCAAATACAAAATTAATTACCTTTGCCATTAATAATTAAATATATAAATTATATTTTATTGTTTAATTTAGGGCAAAGAGACTAAGCAAAGAGTCTTGAGTTTCCTAGAGCTAACATCTCAAGTTTTTGTAATTGGTAATCTTTAATTTGATGAATTTGAGGTTGAGAAACGACTAATACTAGTGTGAAATTGTTATATAATGATCTATGTATAATTAAATGGCACTCTTGGTGGTTGAGGGTCGCGTAGTAGTGAATGAGAGAGTCTAGTTGAGAGGATAAAATACACACTAGCTTATATTTCGGTATTGATCGGTATTTCGGTATATACCGATCCCAATCCCGTAATCCCTAATACCGAATAACAATTGAAACTCAATCCCAATCCCAATCCCACAAAATAATACGTGTATTCGGTAATACCAAATATAGACAAATTCGGTACGGTATTCGGTATATCCCAAATACCAGTACCAAACTTCCAGCCCTACTCATAGGAGCTTAGAATGAGAATTTTCATCTCAATTTGTTTTGGGCAGGTAATAATCTTTCCGTAGTCGGGGGTAAGTATGTGTACTTAGGGTCGTTTGCTTCATGGATTTAAAAATGAGGGTTTTGTAATTTAAAAACCCAAGGATTTATCAAGGATTTGAGACATCATGGATTTGTAACAATCCTTTGTTTGTTGGGATGTTTTTATCATGAATTTAAAGGTGTGGGATTTACTACTTGAAGTCAAAAATTACATTACTGCCCTTTTCTATATGTTTGACATGTTTATGATATGTACACAAAACAAGGACAAAACTTCAAAATTACCTTACTATCATTTTCTATATGTTTGACATGTTTATGATATGTACACAAAACAAGGACAATACATACTAATAAGCATAATGTTGCCACATGGACAATAATAATAAACGAGAAAATTCCGTTTTATCTTTTAACGTAACACAATCAATTACCAATTCTTTGTCCTCCTTTTCAAAAGTAACATATAACAACATATATTAGAATCGGGAGAACAAAGAATTACACGTTCCATGAAAAGGTCAAAGAAAACTAGAACACAAGAAATGATATAAAAAATCTAACTCATGTTTGCACATTAATTGAACGTTTATATTATTCATTTATTGTTAATTATAATGTATAATAGTTAAATTTGAGGGCAACCTTGGAATATTAAAAGTGCATGAGGGTATATGGGTAAAATCTCATCAAGGATTTATGCCATATTCCAAATCTCACATCAACATGTGGGATTTATAAGTCCGTGGGGTCCACGGATTTGGACCCTTAAAATCCGTGGGCCCCACGTATTTGGTCTCCAAATAAGGTGCAAGCAAACAACGAATTGTACCTAAATCCTTGATAGTTGGTTTTTTGGTACCAAATCCATGTACCAAATCCTTGAAGCAAACGACCCCTTAGTACTTTACTCGACATGATTCCTTAATTCATTTTATTCTGGACTTGTTTTGTCTAAACTACATGGAATTTTACTCAAATTACTTAGGGGTCGTTTGGATGGGAAATTATAACGGATCAATTTGATGCAATTGTCTCGTTTTGAGACAATTGTACTAAATTGACATGTTTGCCAAAAAAAAATGGATGGATCAATTTGCTTGAGATGTTTTCGAATTGATCCGTTTTGAGTCAATTTCAATTGTTTGAGGTGGGACAGGTCATTCGAATTGACTCTTTTTAATCGTCTCGTTTATAAAATGAGACAATTGATCCAATTGTCTAATTTTAGATTGATCCATCCAAACGACCCCTTAAATCTTACTTCCACTACCTCATATTTTAGCTATAATGAAGTAAATAGGCGAGAATCTCAATTTCTCCAATAATTCTAAACTTATCATATTATAGTTTGTTTCTTGTTTTTTAAAGTGAAAATGAATATTTCTAATATCTTTTAAACTACAAACCCATTTGAGCAGACCTAATCCCATCAGTGGCCCGTGATAAATTATTCGACCTAGACTCGACCTGTCATAGGGTGTGTATGGATATCGAGTACCCACCCTGAACCAGCTTTATTTACGTTTCTAAAGCTCGGTTATGATCTTAAGGGGGATTTATGAGGGCTTGTTTGTCTCAAATCCAACTCCTAGTAGCTTTAGGGTCGTTTGGTTTTGGTGATAGTTAAATAGATGTATTGTCATCAATGCATGCATAATAATATACATGTATATACGAAAATTGGTGTATTGTAGTTTACATTGTTTGGTTTTTGTGATAGTTATTGTGTTATTTAAATAAGTTATATTAATTTTTGGGTGAAATGTCACTAGATGAATTAGATGCATTAGATGAAATAAGTTATAGATGCATTGTTTTTTTATTACTTTTACAGATCGTTTGAAACTAGATGAATTAGGATTTTATTTCGTTTTAAAATGAATTCATTGACAAATCAATTTCCTATGTTTGGAATGTCATATTCAAGTTTCTAGAAATAAATTGAATTGAATTTCAAAATCATATTTGAAAATACGGTCAGAATTTAATTAAACTAAAATTCTCCAACTATACGCTTGTTGATTTCCATCAGAAACAACATTGCTATTACTCATAGAGAATCCATCTTGTAAAAACACCAGTGTCAAACTTATCATCTAACCAATCTGTCAGAGCAAAAAACGTAAAAAGTAGTAAACAATTTGGATATCCAATCTTCTAAAAATCTTCATTGTAACCTATTTTTCTCTTGAGCCAATAGAGCTTGATCTGGCCATCACAAATAGAGTATTACCAAACAAGAAAACCCATCAACACAATTACAACATGGAGTGTCCATTGATATAAAGTACAAAGGAACACGGGTCATAAAAACTAAAATATAAACAAAAAATCTCTAAAAAACGAAGACGAGAAAGTAACGAATTTGGAGACTTTTTTTTTGTTTTCTCTCTGAAAGCTTCCTATTAGGGTTCCGGAGGATGGTTGCCGCACAGGGCGTAGCTATTCGGTGTTGGCGACCCAATTGGCTCCAATACATCACTCCGAACATTGTGGACGGTTCTCTTATCATCCCGCGAGCTATGCGTGATGAGGGGGTTGCTCGTTAGAGGAATGTGTTGGTTGGGCAGTTCCTATCGCTGGCACCTGGAATTGAGCAGTTGCGACGTTGGGCTCATAGATTTAGGGGTCGAGATGGGAAGATTTTTGTCTCGCCATTCGGTGATAACATGTTCATTTTCCAGTTTGCTGATCCTGATACAGGTAATTGGGTATGTGAGAATGCCCCCTGGCACTATGCAAATAATCCGCTATTTCTTCGTAGTTGGGTCCTCGGAATTCAGTCTATGGAAATGAATCTCAAGTCTCTCTCTATTTGGGTGCGTTTGAGTGGATTGTCGTTGAAATATAGTACAACGGAGGGGGCTGAGTCACTTTGCTAGTCTATTAGGTATTCCTTTTTGGATGGACCAACCGGCTAGATTGGGGGCTCAAACAAGTGTTGCAAGGGTATGCGTGGAGATCCCTGCGGACTTCGGATTTCTAGAAATGCTCAGTATTACACCTAAAGGGGATCGACTGATCCATCTTGTGGTTCGCTATCTACATTTTACTTCACGTTGTACTGAGTGTTGTGAATAAGGGTACTGCGATGGGGAAGGAAAAGAGTGTAAGATAGTTCATGTTCAGATTGGGAAAGAGTTGGTGGTTGCTGAAGCCATGACTGATGATGTGGCTTGGGTTGCTAAGTAAGTTACTGCTAGTTCTTCAGAGCAGGGTGGATGAGGTCAAGTTCCAGTAGTTGGCTCAAATACTAATAAAGGAAGTCCAGTTCAAGTCGCTTGCTCAAATATGAAGGAAGGCAATCCGACTCTAGTTGCTTGATTAAATGGAGGATGTCCAGTTCCAGTATCTGGCTTGATTATGAAGAGTGGAGACTCAGTAGCTAGCTCATCTCAGGTTCTCACTCCAAATAATGGGAAAATAGTTGTTGATGAAGGTTATAGCTTGTAATGCGAAATGGGAAAGTAGTGGAGTCTGCACTAAAGATACCTCTCTCGGTAGTACATGCAAGAGTTCCATTAAATGCAAAGGCTCAAAGTTTGGTTATTCATTACTCTCCTGAGAAGAGGGGAGGAAGGAAAAAGAAGTGACGAAGAAGTTATCCTGGAACCTCAAAGGCTTTAATGCCTCTAAGAAACATAGTTTTATTATTAAGAAAGTTTGTAAGAATAATATTGATTTGTTTGTTATTTTGGAGACTCGAGTAGTAGCTAGTAATGTTGAAATTAAAATAAAAAATCAATTTAGAGGTTGGACACATATGAATAATTACAAGTATTCTAGTTAAGGCAGAGTTTTTTTTTTTTTTGGAAATCCAATTTGAGAATTTCTAAAGTTGCCATGGGTGGTCATTTTATACCGTTTCGAGTGGAGGGTGATGAGAAATGTTTGGTTACAACGGTTTATGCTCTAAATAAGACATCTGAGTTGTCTAAGATGTATGCTACTTTACTGGCGAGATGTACTCGAGGATCTCCTAGCGTGTTTATGGGTGATTTCTATGTTATTGTCTCAGTGGCGGAGGCATCCAATATGTCAGTGGTAAATCAAAGTTGTTTAGAGTTCCGATAGTGGATAAATGAGATGTAGTTAGTTGATCATGTTGTACAGGGGTCCTCGGTCATGTGATGGAACAAGCAGGTCAACAATCCTATAGCAAAGCGGCTTGACAGATTCTTGGTTATTGGGGAGTGGATGGATAAGTTTCCTCACAATGTTGTGCATACTCTTTCACCTGAGGTTTCTGATCAGTGTGGTCTGCTAATGGATTCTTGTCCAATAGTGGACTCTCTT